ATGACCATCGCCCTTCAGGGGTGATTTCTCACTTTCAATCTCTTTGTCTCTGACTCTGCGAGCACACACCCCCTATAGCAAAAAAAAAAAACTCTCCAAAAAAAAAAAAGAGAGAGAGTTTTAGATTGTCAAGAAGTTGTTCTGGCCTACAGCCCAAGTGGTATTCTGTGTCCTGAGAGTCCCCTAAAAGGACTTCCTCATCTCTTTCCCACCCAGAGCATTCAGCTCCTTTGTCCCTTGTGAGGAACCCCATTCAAAAATACAAATACTTCTCGGGACCAGCAGTTAGCGTAATGGCTATGTCGCTGGACTCCTACGTAGTTGACCACGGTTTGCGTCCCAGACCCGGTGGCTTAAACTCACGCCGGGCACGTGTGCGTGTGTGCCCATGATCCCGAGAGGAGAATGGAGGAGAAGGGATTGCGGCATGGCCATCCCCTCTGGGGGGTGATTTCTCGCTTTCTATCTCTCTGTCTCTCTCTGTCTGTCTTGCAAGCGCACGCGCCCTATAGCAAAAACCTCTCCAAAAAAAAAAATACAAATACTTCTCCAAAGTGTGTCTTACCAAGAAGTATTAATTAACTGAAGTTAGGGGTTTTGCTTTCTCCTGTGATTGTGTTTATTTTTTTACTATTTGATTTTAAGGAACACTATTTTCCACTTTTTAAACTGACATATTCTAAGGCCAATAGGTGGTGTAGTGGTTAAGGCGCTGGACTCCCACATGGCCGACTCTGGTTCGAGTTCCAGACCCAGGGGCTTGAAACTCATTCCAGGCACATGTGCATGTGTGGCCAAAGTCCTGAGATGAGAATGGAGGAGAAGGGTTTGTAGTATAGCCATCTCCTGGTGGAGAGGGATGATTTCTCACTTTCTCTCAGTCTCTGGCTGTGTCTCCAGTGAGCGCATGCACCCTATAGCAAAAATCTTTCCTTCAAAAAACAAAACCTAACATACGTATACCTTCATTTTTAGCCCACATTTTAATGTTGCAGTTCTGTAATTCACATTGACCCTATACTGTATTTGATGAGTTCAGTGAGCAGTTCACCTATCCTGATGCCTTCCTTGGTAGCTATACAGTCACCTCAGAAACCTTTGGAAAGGGTTGGGGTGGGTAGTAAGGTAATTAAGATACGCTTACTATGCTTCTCAGCCATTAGGAGATGACAGTAATTTGGGCCTGCTAGCTCGCTGTCACTGTCAACTGTGCATTGTTTTTGTTTGTTTATTTTGTGAGGTTATTTTTGCTGTTTTTTTTTTTTTTGAGAGGTTTTTGCTATAGGGCACGTGTGCTCGCCAGAAAGAGAGAGAGACAGACAGAGAGCAAGAAATCACCCCCCAGGGGGGATGGCCACGCCACAATCCCTTCTCCTCCATTCTCCTCTTGGGATCTTGAGCACGCACGCACACACATGCACCCAGCATGAGTTTAAGTCACTGGGTCCAGGACTCGAACCGTGGTTGACTACATGGAAGTCCAGCGACATAGCCATTACGCTAACTGCTGGTCCCAACCAGCTGTGCATTGTTTACATACTGACCACACCTGCTCAGCTGCATGTACTAATACCTCGTAAGTCCCATGAAGCAGAATTTCTAACTGTCCAAGGTATGCTAGCTTAGCATTGACTGGCTCTTCTGGGACTTCATTTTGTTTGTAAGTTTTATGTTTATGGGGAGAGCTGATTTAAAAGTGTGCTCTGAATGCTTACAGAAGCATGGATGACCTCAGAAATGTGACTGACTTTGGCATATGAGAGAGACTGAGCTGGTAGTAAATACATTGTATATTTTAATTGTGACTTGTCAGTGTTCAACTAACTTTTAAAAATAACTAGGACACTATTAACAAACAGCCCATTCAATACCAGTTACGATAGTCTTTGGATACTCTTTTAAAGTATTACTAGCACTGAATTAATTTGCTAACATGAACTTATTATTTCTTTTTCAAAGCTACAGGTTTGGTCTTTTTTGTCTTTTAGGTTTTGCACGGAATCTTTCAGAGGGCAATAATGCTAATTATACAGAGTATGTGGCCACCAGATGGTATAGGTCCCCAGAACTCTTACTTGGGTGAGTATCATCCCAAAATAGAATGACACTCACACATTGACTGATTCTATACCATTGGCTTTGGGATTATCTGTGGAAGATAAAAACTTCAGTTAATTAACCATAGAGGTTATATATTGTATTGTAGAACTACCTAAAAACTTAACGGTATGAAAGAAGCACCATTTTATTTGCCTTTGATTCTTAGTGTTAGAAGACTCAATAATTGGAGTTCTGCTGACCTCTTGGCCCATGTAGCTACATTCAGCTGGCAGGTGGTCATCTGGGGGCTGGTTTAGGGGCCTCAGCTGGAGCAGATCATCTCTCCTCCAGGGGGTCTCCTCCTTCAGCAGGCTAGTCTGAGTTTTCTTGTGAGATAGAGGGAGAATTCCATGTAGCAAGAGAGTAAGCCCCAAGTCAAGGCTTCTTTTCAAGCCTCTGTTTGCATGGTTTTTGCTTCATTGGCTGAAGCATGTTACATGGCCAAGCCCTGATTCATGGCATACAGAAATAAATCCCACCATTTGATGGGAGAAGAGGCAGGCCACATTACGAAGTGCCATATGTACAGAAATGGAAGGAATTATGCACTCTTTTCTGCATTAAGAATGTGAATGTCTGGGGTCTGGCAGGTGGCATGGTGGTTAACGGCACTGAATTCCCACAAGGCTGACCATGGTTTTAGTCCTGTACCTGGCAGCTGGCTTTTTTACTTTCCCTCTCTCACTCTCACTCTGTCCATCTCTGATCAAATTAAAAATAAAGTTAAAACTTTTTTTTAAAGTGAATGTCTGAAAAAAAATTTAAAAAGGTGAATGTCCCAGAGTTTGACATTCTGGCTTATCTGTTATTTGATTGATTGACTGATCCATTCATTCAATAAACACTTATCAAATATGTCTCATGTCCAGCCACTTTGCTGGACACATGGGGTAGATATTGAGCCTGTTGCATTTTTCTCCTGAAAAATGTAAGTCCTGTTTGATGATGAATGACTGTTCAAGCTATTGGGTTGTCATGACAGAAGTCATGAGGAAAGTCATGATGCATTTGTGGATAGAAAAATACATCATGACTTTCCTGACAACCTAGTAGGGCACTCACGCCTTTTCTCAGCAACACCTACACCGCTACTCACTACTCATCCTTCTACTTCCAGTGCTATTTCATTCATCTGTTAATATCAGCACAAAGTCTTATGAGAAGGGTCTTCTCTTCTTTTTCATACATTTTTACTTTTAGAGCCTAGGATGGAGCTTTATCTCCAGCACATAGTTTTTTTTTTTTTATGAGAAATTTTTGTTATAGGGCATGTGAGAAACAGGGACAGAAAGTGAGAAATCACCCCCCCCTCCCCCAGGGGAATGGCCATGTCACAATCTCTTCTCTTCCATTTTCCTCCTGGGGATTTGGACACACAGGCACACACACGCGGCTTGAGTTTCAAGCCACCAGGTCCAGGATACGGACCACAGTCGACCATGTGGGTGGGTGTACAGATCCTTAACAACTATGCCACCTGCTGGCCCCTACAGTTTTCTTAAGAATTTTCTGCCTAGTTTTTTTTTTTCCTTCTCTAGACTGTGCTTCCTTTTTCATGACCACTGAAGAATGGAGAAGAAAGGCACACTAGACAAATAAGATTAGAAATAGTGGTGATGATGACAAGTGTACAAATTGTAGGTTTTATCTCTTTTATAGTGTGCCATATGTGTATCTGGGGAACATGAGAACGTAATTTTTTTTAAATACTTTTATACAATGGCAACGTAAGTTCGCGGAATTCTCCTGAGGAGCATGGTGTCTGTGTGCGCAAGCTACTGATGAGGGTTTCTTCATTCCCCAGTGTCTACCGGTCATCTGGTGGGAATTCTTGATTCAGTGATGACCTAGAGCCTATAAAAATTACTGTCATCAGTTATCAAAGGTTTACTTTTTTTCTTAATCAAAAGCTTGTTTTATGTTGAGAAGAAAAATGATGGTTAATCACTGTATTAGCTTTTTTGCCTGTATGGACAGAGTTAGAATTTCTGTGCTCATTTTTCATCTTGGGTTTAAGGTTGATTTTATTCATGTCACTCTGTATTTTTTCTTCTGTGTACCTTTCTGGACTTACTGGAATACATCAGCCATTTTCTTTTGAGGATGAATTTTCCGGCCACTATTTACCGGTGAAGAAATTAGTATGAAGTAGTTCATTCATAGAACCATCATCCCAGGCCTCCAGTATGGTGGAAGGACTGGCTATACTGTGGTTTTGTCTTTTAAGGTTGCCCCAAGGATGCCAGCTGGTGGCATGATGGTTTGGGAGGCAGGATGCCATATGGCCAGCTTTGCAGTTTGAGTCCTAGACCTGGTGGCTTGAGAAACATGCTGAGCTTTTGTGTGTGCCCAAAATCCTGAAAGGAGGGACGAATGGAGGAGAAAGGGTTGTAGGGAGACCATTCGGGGGGGGGGATGCATTCTCCCTCTCTCTCTGTTTCTTTCTGGCAAGCACATGTACCCTCTGTACCCTCTGGCAAATTGAGGGGGTGGGGAAGGGTGTGCCCAAGGAGTTCATTCTGAGAATGGCCTTACTGTGAACCTTCAGATACGACAGGAAAACGGACATTTGGTTTAGAGATGTGTGATAGCTGTCAGAGGGAGATGGGGATAGTGCACCTGTTTGGAGCTGAATGGAATATTGCTGATTAAGTGGTGGTCAAGTGTTAGTTGAAGAATCATCGTATTTGTATAAAAATTCCTCTTTAAATCTGTTAATATTTGGTTATACATTAAGAATTTAGACTTTTCTACATTCTCAAAGCTGTCCTTAGCATTCAAAATAGTTCTAGCTGTATAAATTATTCAAATCAGATGACGGAATTAAAATAGCTTGTAGTGGGTATGTGGAAATTTTCCATAGGTTTCTCCATATAGCACTATGGAGCAGGTTTTCTCTCTCTCAGTCAGAGATGAAGGAAAGACCAGTATCCCTCCCTCCCCTAACAAGCTGCCAGGAAAATCTAAATGTCATTTCTTTATAAGGTTTTAAGGTTTGGGGGAAAAACTGAGACAAATGAAATACCGACTTCTTGTTGCAATGATTTAGTAGCCTAGAAACATGTTTCGTATAGTATGAACAGTGCTTTAGATTAAGAGTTTTGTATTACTCTTATATCATTATGGCATTTTAGATTATATTCCATCTTCTTTTTCAAATACTCTAGTTTGGCTTTTCCTGCTTAAAGCACGGATTATTTATATTTGAAAATTTTAAAAAGCAATAAAACTTAAAAAGATTTTTTCCTAATCTGCCATAAATAATTTAATTTAAGGCAGTCGATACTGGTATAGATATAAAGCTATCTGGGCAATATCCAGATTTTCATGTACAGCATCCAGTTGTTAATAACAGCAACAGTCTGAAAGCCCTTTGGTAAACTCAGACTATAGAAGAAAGCTCTAAATCCTTAAGTAAACTGAAAAAAAAAACCATTTTGAATGAAATAGCTATCATAAAGTCTTATATACACTGGGTCCAGATATATTCTAATAAGTAATAAAATAGTGCTTAGAACAACCTTATCTTAGAAATTGTATTCTAACTATTCAGAGGTTAAATAATATTCATTGTTTGATAAGACACATTTTAATAAGCTAAACAAAAAACTTAGTGAGATGTAACTTTTCTGCAGTTGGAAAGGTTAAAAAAAAAGAAATGACTTAGTAAATACATTTCTTTTTTTAAATCATTATTTAATTTAATTTTATTTATTTTAATTTGACCAGAGAGGAACAGAGAGAGTAAGAGGAAGTGAGAAAGCAAGCTGCCAGGTCCGGAACTTGAACCATGGTCAGCCATGTGGGTGTGCAGCACCCTTAACCACCATGCCACCTGCTGACCCCAGTAAATATATTTCTTGGAAGCATTTCATTCCTCCAGGAAGCAATGTCTCATCAGACATGTACACCATATTGGGGCTTATTAAGCTGTCCGCGTTCAATATATACTCACATGTGAATATATTCAAACCAGTGTATCCTAACTAAATAGTTACTAAAATGATGGCTTTATTATTTTAGGCTTATTCACTTGTATTCTGCATTTTTATTTGGAATCCATAATTCATTTTTTCCCAGCCTCACTTTTTTCCACATGGCACTTTTCTGTTCCTTACATATGTAAATAGGCTTTAAGTCATGAATTGGTAAAAAAATAAATTGGAAATTGTTACAAGATTATATTTGTTCAGTTGCCAAAATGATCTCTCTTTTTGCCTTTCAGCGCTCCCTATGGAAAGTCCGTAGACATGTGGTCAGTAGGCTGCATTCTTGGGGAGCTTAGCGATGGACAGCCTTTATTTCCTGGAGAAAGCGAAATTGACCAACTTTTTACTATTCAGAAGGTGCTAGGCCCACTTCCGTCTGAACAGATGAAGCTCTTCTACAGTAATCCTCGTTTCCACGGGCTCCGGGTAAGAGGTTTTGCTAAAACCCAGAATGGAATCAACACTGCAGTATTTCTATCATTGTTCATCATACAATGGAATGTTAAGCTAGCCTTTGAGTGCCATTCCCTTTCCCATGACGATGTTTATAATCCCCACCATCATATTTTATTTCTGAGTCTTAAATAGTATTTGTGAAGTTTTAAAAATAGTCAGAATTTGAAAGTGGGAGCTGATAGTGATTTTTTTCCCCTAATTTGTAAGTTCTAAATTTTCAAAATCTGTTTCAGCATGTACATTATTATATTCACCTTAGAATGTTTCTTTATCCAGAGTACTAAGCATTTCCCCAAAGATATAAAATGTATGAACTGCTTCTGCTTATTTGAGCAAACGCATTGGTGGTGACTCCGGGAAGGTCATGAATACTTGCATTCCAAAGATTCAGAGGTTCTAACCCCAACAGATGTTTCTTGTCTGTTGACAGTGCGACATCAAGTCTCCCCCGAACTTCATCTCCCCACCTCTTCCTTTCTGTCTCTTACATGTGTAATTCCCAAACGGTGTTATCTTGCTGCTGGCAAAGCCCTGGGTTGTTTTTTTTTTCTTTGCTTCCCCAGACCTCAGCTCATTTCCTTTCGGAGAGCCACTGCTCACACCTGGGTGCCCAGCAAGGCCCCAGCTCCTGCTAGGCTCAGTGAATGTGGGCGGAAGGAAAGAACAGAGGCTACACTGTCGGTTGCTTTCACAGTCACTCTTTCTTCTCCTTCCTGCTTTCTCTCTCTCTTCCAAAGCTGTCTGAATTACCACAGGCAAGTTTTTCTTTTCCCTTGGTACTTTTGCTTTTGTAAGCCAAAAATGAGCCCAATCGTGACCATTGCTGAGGGTGCAAATAGCATGTGGTTCAGCACACCCTTAACCACCATGCCACCTGCTGACCCCAGTAAATATATTTCTTGGAAGCATTTCATTCCTCCAGGAAGCAATGTCTCATCAGACATGTACACCATATTGGGGCTTATTAAGCTGTCCGCGTTCAATATATACTCACATGTGAATATATTCAAACCAGTGTATCCTAACTAAATAGTTACTAAAATGATGGCTTTATTATTTTAGGCTTATTCACTTGTATTCTGCATTTTTATTTGGAATCCATAATTCATTTTTTCCCAGCCTCACTTTTTTCCACATGGCACTTTTCAATTCCTTACATATGTAAATAGGCTTTAAGTCATGAATTGGTAAAAAAATAAATTGGAAATTGTTACAAGATTATATTTGTTCAGTTGCCAAAATGATCTCTCTTTTTGCCTTTCAGCGCTCCCTATGGAAAGTCCGTAGACATGTGGTCAGTAGGCTGCATTCTTGGGGAGCTTAGCGATGGACAGCCTTTATTTCCTGGAGAAAGCGAAATTGACCAACTTTTTACTATTCAGAAGGTGCTAGGCCCACTTCCGTCTGAACAGATGAAGCTCTTCTACAGTAATCCTCGTTTCCACGGGCTCCGGGTAAGAGGTTTTGCTAAAACCCAGAATGGAATCAACACTGCAGTATTTCTATCATTGTTCATCATACAATGGAATGTTAAGCTAGCCTTTGAGTGCCATTCCCTTTCCCATGACGATGTTTATAATCCCCACCATCATATTTTATTTCTGAGTCTTAAATAGTATTTGTGAAGTTTTAAAAATAGTCAGAATTTGAAAGTGGGAGCTGATAGTGATTTTTTTCCCCTAATTTGTAAGTTCTAAATTTTCAAAATCTGTTTCAGCATGTACATTATTATATTCACCTTAGAATGTTTCTTTATCCAGAGTACTAAGCATTTCCCCAAAGATATAAAATGTATGAACTGCTTCTGCTTATTTGAGCAAACGCATTGGTGGTGACTCCGGGAAGGTCATGAATACTTGCATTCCCAAGATTCAGAGGTTCTAAACCCCAACAGATGTTTCTTGTCTGTTGACAGTGCGACATCAAGTCTCCCCCGAACTTCATCTCCCCACCTCTTCCTTTCTGTCTCTTACATGTGTAATTCCCAAACGGTGTTATCTTGCTGCTGGCAAAGCCCTGGGTTGTTTTTTTTTTCTTTGCTTCCCCAGACCTCAGCTCATTTCCTTTCGGAGAGCCACTGCTCACACCTGGGTGCCCAGCAAGGCCCCAGCTCCTGCTAGGCTCAGTGAATGTGGGCGGAAGGAAAGAACAGAGGCTACACTGTCGGTTGCTTTCACAGTCACTCTTTCTTCTCCTTCCTGCTTTCTCTCTCTCTTCCAAAGCTGTCTGAATTACCACAGGCAAGTTTTTCTTTTCCCTTGGTACTTTTGCTTTTGTAAGCCAAAAATGAGCCCAATCGTGACCATTGCTGAGGGTGCAACAGCAGGTTGGTTCGGTAGTTATCAAACATTTGTCACAGTAGATGCTGAAAACATGACGATAAATAGGACTTGCCTTCAGTCTAGCAGAAAGGACTATCCCATCTATTATATTCGGAAGTAAAGTGAACCATAATTAATGAATTCCTGTTTCACTGAGAATCAATGCACACTCCTTGTCATAGCCTGTGAGCCCTTCCCTGATAGGGCCCTTCTGGCTCCCTGACCTCACGTCATGCCTCATGCATTCCCCACCCCTCCCTCTCCAAATTTCCAGCACACTTGGCCTTTCTTACTCTTTGACTTCCATAAACATTCCAAGGACCCAGCGCTAGGTGCTTCCCTTCCATGGCCTCCTTTAACTCTGTCCATCCCATATCAAAGAATGCCCCCCTTTCCAATGAACCTCCCCCACCTCCTTCCTCGTCTGTCTCCTTAGCACTTTCCTTTATTCTATCATAGCACTTTGCACGATACGGAAGTCTTTCTCTGTTTCTTTACTTGTTAATTATTAGTTAATTCTCCTCCACTAGACACCAGTTCCCCAAGGGCGAAGTCATGTTTTACGGCTGTATGTCCAAGCATTTAACAGAGACCCTGGCACCTCCAGCAGCACTCACTCTGTACCTTAGTTGCTGATGGAAGCATCTGAGCCATCAGCACTCATGCTCCGTAGGATTTCCCTGCTCTCTGTCTCCAATGCTGCTTTCAGCCTTGTCATCTCTGCCCGGACTGTTCCCAGCTATTCCCAGGCCATCGCTCCAACTTCCTCTCTTCAGTCTTTTCACAGTTCTCAGCCACACGTTTAACCCTGTCCTCCTTCTGTTTAAAGCCCTCCACAGGATTGCCAGTAAATGTTATGCTCCTTAGGGTAACATTAAAAACTCCTCGCTCTTAGCCTGCAGACCTTTCCCACCTCCCACCCCGTGGTCTTCAGTCACTCTCAACCTCTCACCTTTCCCTTGGCATTTGCTTCTTAGCCTGCATTTCCGTTTCTGTAATGCTCCCAACATTCACACCATTTCCTTTTCCTCCTTCCCCTCTGGTCCCTTCCTCCTCTTGACTCAGGCCACCAAATAAAGCCCTTCTAGACTATTCCAGGCAAAAGGGCGACTCCTCCTTCTGAGCTCCTGTAGCAGTCTACAGGTCGTATTTCTTTCCTAGTACTCATTGCATTCTCTTTGAAGTAGCTCTTTGCAAATGTGTGTTCTCACTGAGCTAATGAAGTCCTGGAGGAAACAAACCTTTACGTTCACATTATGTTAGCAGCATGCCTAGAATATAATGCCTACGAGGTTGAATATGTTCATTGAGTGAATATCTGACCTCCGAATTTTTATACTAACTGCTGGAACATTAAGCTTCGCCTACGGGCTGACTTGTTCTTGGCTTTGTGCCGGATTCTCTGAAGAGAATATAGACAGATATGATATAGTACCTGGTCTCGATGCGTTACAAGCTAGGGCCAGCCTGTGCCATTAAGGCTGCTAGATTCCCCATGGCTGACTGCGCAGTTTGAGTCCTGGACCTGGTGGCTGGAAAAACACACTGCGCCTATGTGCAGGTGTGTCCAAAATCCCGAAAGAAGGAAGAAATGGAGAAGGGATTGCTGTGTGGCCGTTTCTCATGGGTGGTGCTTTCTCGCTTTCCCTTTCTCACTCACTGTCTCTCTGGTGAGTGCACATGCCCTCTAGCAAAAGTTAAAAGAAAAATTACAAGTGAGTTGAAAAAAATTAAGACTTTCTATCATCCATGAAATAATTAGAAAATAATACGATTTATAAGAAAATGTAGTATATGAGGCATCTTTGAAAAGCTCATGGAAACTGCATATTTTATAAAAACTATGTATAGATTTGAATTCTTCTTTGCACCAAAATATACTTGTACTTCAATTCCATTTTTCATATACCAATGAAATGTCACTCCTGGAAATAGTAAAGGAGAGGGTGTCTGGTAGCATAAGATCGATCTCATAAGCAAAATGTTCATCAAAATGTAATGGAATAGGGTCTTTCACCTCAGCGTGATAGATGTCTCTTTTGGGGCTAATACTAATGCTCCAACAATATCAAAAGGAACCTCTTTACCTCCCTTAGGAGAGGTACCTTAGGTTTACGAAGAATGTGGTTTGGATCACAGGCTTAAGCACAAACATTCTTTCTATTGCTTTTTTCTCTTTTTTCTTTTTTTTCTGAGAGGTTTTTGCTATAGGGCACGTGCGCTCGCCAGAAAGAGAGAGACAGAGAGATAGAAAGTGAGAAATCACCCCACAGGAAGGATGGCCACGCTGCAATCCCTTCTCCTCCATTCTCCTCGGGATCTTGGGCACACACGCACACGCGCCCTGCGTGAGTTTAAGCCACCGGGTCTGGGACTCGAACCACGGATGGCTACACGGGAGTTCAACAACATTATACTAACTGCTGGTCCCTGTATTGCTTTTTAATTATATAACTTGCTTTGACCCAATTTGAATTATCTCATCATTACCTTCCAAGTCTCTAAAGTAATAATACTTAACATTCCTTGCCCAGTATCAATTCTCTTAGAAATCAGTATTAGGCTGTTGCCTGTGCATCTGTGTTCAGTTCATGTTATTTCTTCTACTTCTGCTGTCTGGGGGGGGTGCTGTCCTTTCTCTGCCCTTACGTTTTTCCTTGAAAATCCAGTTCAAACATATAGATACGGTAGAGAGTGCATTCGTGCAAGAGAGAAACACCCTTGGCAGGGTCTTGTTGTGCTGTGATCCCCTCCCCCCAGTCTTCCATCTCCTCAGGATCCCGGGCACCCCTGGGTGTGTATGCAGCATGTTTTCAACCCAACCCTGGGATCTGAACCCATGGTCATCCGTGTGGCTTCCAGCCATCAGGGCACTTGCATGGCCCCTGCGCCAACAGTGGCTGACCTCCAGTTCAGAAAATACTTACAGCTTCTTTCTTCTACAGCTGCAAACCCCCCATGTCTCTTCTTTTACTGAACTTGATTTAAAATCTACTACTGCCCAAGTTTAGCACTAATTGCTTTCCCAACCGGATAGTAGATTCCAAAGGAGCAAGGTTTAGGTCAGACCAGATTCTGTCTCTTGCTGTACTAAGTACAGGGTGGGATGTCATCATCACCATCCCTTAAATACCTCGTTTGTAGTTTGACTACATCGTCGGTCTTCCCATCCATTTATTCTGGATGTTTAGGGATTCCAGTGCTTGGAAATGCTCTCATGTTGGTATGAAGGGAATACACCTTGAAAGCAAAGTAGCCTTCCCATTTGGTGGGGGTACCTGGCATCGGCCTCCACCAGTCAGATCAGCCAGTGCTTTAATATTCCCTGAGACACTGCAGAATGTGAGCTGGCAGAGGAAAGGACAGAACATCGAAATAAACTTGAGCCCTTTCTCTCTCTTTATTTTAAAATGTATTTGTTAATCTAAGAGCCTATGTTTGTCTTATTCTAACAAAAGGAAGGGTGTGGAAAACAGGTTGCTAGGAGTATATATTGGGTTGTTTGAAATATGGTGACATATTTTTCTATGCAGAACTGTCATGACTTGTCTGACAATCCAGTAAAAAGCACAACAGGACATTTGTCTGGAGTCACTGTTTTTTTACTTTCGTGACCTTTCAAGTGCTGGCCTCTTACTGCCTTTTTCTCTTTTTATATTTCTCTACTTTCAGAAATAAATGATATGTTCTTGTGGAACAGGTATACGAATTCTATGTGATGTCTTATATCCCTTCTGCTAGCCCCCCTGTTACTGTCAGTAATTACAGATCGTCAGTACAAGCAAATTCTGTGTCCATTGTATCACAACTGCATTGCAGATTTACCCAGTATGCCGTATAAACAGACTTTCCAATTCTTATATTTTACTTTCTTTTACATGCCTCAGTATTGTCTGCATAGACTGAAGTATCATCTTTTTTTTTTTTTTTTGAGAGGTTTTTGCTATAGGGCGCATGTGCTCATCAGAAAGACAGAGAGAGACAGAGAGACAGAAAGCGAGAAATCACCCCCCAGGGGGAATGGCCACACCGCAATCCCTTCTCCTCTATTCTCCTCTCTGGATCTTGGGCACGCACGCACACGCACCTGGCGTGAGTTTAAGCCACCGGGTCCAGGACTCGAGCTGCGGTCGACTACATGAGAATTCTGCGACATAGCCATTATGCTAACTGCTAGTCCCATGAAGTATCATCTTTCACTAGGACTTTGCCTATGACTTAAAACTCAGTCCTGTTCATCAATACCTAAAATGCATAGACAACAGTAATGTACGCACATACGGATCGGACTCAAATTGGCACTAGGGCAAGTCTTCTGCCCACCGTCTCCCTGCAGCACTCAGGCACAGGCTCACCCATTCCCTTCCCCGCACTGGGCACTGACGTTCTTGTCCTGTTGTTCTTGTCGTTCTTCCAGTTTCCAGCTGTTAACCATCCTCAGTCACTGGAAAGAAGATACCTTGGAATTTTAAATAGTGTTTTACTTGACCTAATGAAGGTAAGACAAGTTGACATTGTGTGTATAAAATGCCTTTGGTTTGTAGATTCTCCTGTCGGAGAAGTCATGATGCATTTTTGCATAGAGAAACAGAAAACATAAGTCATGACTTTTCTGACAACCCAATACATGTAGCCGTAACTGGCTTTGATGGATTCAGTGTCTTGTTCGTAGATGGGTAATGGTGAACAGTGGGAGGCTGTGTCATGTTAAAAGGCACATGATTTATTTCACATTGCAACATGATCTGGAATTGTCACAGCCCATCTAGATAGGACCAGGTAATCCTTAAATCACTTTTCTAAAATGGACAGAATAATGACCATCTGTTAGCATTCAAGAGCTGCTCAAGTAAAGTTCTAAAACAAATCTTACATATTGAAAGAAAAAACAGCTTTCTTTTAATGTGACATAGATGTGTGCTCCCCCCCCCCAAATAGTCTGTACAGATTTGGTCAGGGAGCCTAACTCATCTCTGTTTTTAATTTGCCCTTGGCCTCTTCTCTCCCAGACAGATGGTTCTTTTTGGCTCTTTAGAGGTGTCAGGGTCATTGCTATTCTAGATGCCTGAGGACTCTCCCTCAGGGTGTCCCCTCACCCCTCAGCAGTCTTCCTGCTCTGGACTACTCCGCATATCTTTATTCAAGTTGTTCTTCCCTAACAGCCAGCCAGCCTGCCCCTCAAGTAAGAACTGTTTTTCATGGTTCTCCAGCTTTTGTTGCAGCCAGCCAGTGCATAGGCAAGCATGGGTCGTTTGATAGTAGACCTTCAAAACACACTTGGTAATGGATCGATTTTATTGTATGCCCATTTAGTCAGCTGTCAGAATCAGCACAGTTACACTGTGCACAGAGCCTTTAACGGGCCTACTTAGCACAGCTGGAAATTGCCGAACTGCATTCTCAGAACTTTGCTGTGCCTTAAGCTGTGTTAATCTGTGTTCCCAGGAATTCAGTGTAAATAGGTGTGGGGGTGGAGGTGGGGGTGGGGGCGTGGCCTTTGGGAAAGGCCACATACCATATAACCTTTTGTAGAGATTCACAATATTCATTAACCTATAAAGGCTTTCAGAAGTCTTAGAGTAAAGAAGCATTTCTGTCTTACTCAACATTTCCCAAATTTAATTAAATACTGAACACTGTTTTTTTTAAAAAAAAAAAACTCTCAAGCACTAGTGTTCTTTTGAACACATATTGAGAAATGCTACCCCACAAAGGAATCCTCAAAGCTCTTTCACCTTAATTATGCATAAATTATCATTTCAATCAGTTGAATTTTGGCAGTACACTCTTTGACCCAGTCAATACTTACTGATCAGGGCCTTGATTTTTGATAACTATTAAAATGTAAATAGAATCAAGTAGAAAAGTGGGATTAAATGCAATGTCATATTTTCTGCCTTTCTCTTTCTTTCTTTCTTTTTTTAGTTAAAAATAATTGAAGCTTTTGTTGAATCATTACCGAGTAGTATAATTACCAAGCCCAGTGTGGTGCCTGATTAAAAGCTAGCACATGAGGCTGGATGGTGACACAGCAGTAAAATGTGATGCTTTGCAAGGCTGACCCACACGGGCAGGTTCTGGGTTCACATACAGAGACCTCCCTGAGTAGACCAGGCATGTGCATGCCCATGATCTAGGGCTGGCTGGAGGTGGATAGTGGCATCAAGACCATTTTAGGGATGCCATCTCTCTCTTGCTCATGGAAGAAATAATTTTTTGAAAATAAGAAAAGAAAGTGGGGCCAGTGGGTGGTGTGGTGATTAAGACGCTGGACACCCACGTGCACCCAGCAGCTTAAAAATCATGCTGGGCACACGTTTGTGTCGACGGAAAAATATAACCAACTGTAAAATTAATAATTAATAATTAATGCGG